AATTCCATTGAACGCTGTTAACGAATAATAAATGCACGTAGTGAACGTCCATTAAAGTGCAGTGAACTAATTCGTTAAGCTACAGTGTAAAGATCTGTGGAAAACATCTAATTTTTACCGTGGGAACTTTTGTTGTGAACACCGGCTATGTGTGGTTTGGACGTAGACTAAATTATTATAACAGGTATAGACAGCTTACAGCTCCGAAGCCTATGAAGCGAATAGACCTGCGCTAGGGTCACCAACAGATTTGACATTTTGTTGCAGACATATTTACAATGTTATCAATTTCAGTGAAGTAGAGTTTAAAATTTGAATTTTTCGTACAAAGTTTCTTTTCTAATTGTTTCATTCACGTTTTATAAAACTATTAATATTATTAATAAGTACATTGTCACCTTTACGTGTGTGATAACTGATAACCTACGATAAGAAATCGCTGACAACTCACTAACGAATTTCAAAATAATTTAATATATACCGTAATAATGATTATTTAACTGGACATTTAGTTATTATTATTATTTAATTTTAATAAAACTTATTAATTTAAATACGTATTAATAATTTAACTTAATAATTTCATATGGGGTCTAATAAAATCATTTTTACTAGCTGTTGCTCGCCAATTCATCCACGTGAATTTAAATAGAGGCTCAGTAGTTCTTGAGTTTTTTCAATACATACAAAATACAAATATCTTTATAATATTAGTATAGATTAAACGATGAATGATATTTGTAAAATTAACAATGGCAGCCCTGTTGCGGCGGTTGCAAATAACTTATTCATACGATCCGTATCCACGTTCGTATGAACGCACATTCATTAATGCCAATAATAGACGTGCTAAGTTTTTCTTTCACCCCATATATTTACAACGAGCGGTAGCAATATTTATAATTCAATTCTCAAACGATGGCTACTAATTTCATTCTTCTTTAACATGTTCTGGGTAAAAATTATAGACCAATTGTGTCAGGTTGAAGTGACTCATTTGCTTTGGTTTTTTCTGAGTACCATATTTGTATTGTCTACTCTTTAAAGTTTACTTGTAATCATACATGCTTGACTTATAACTCGCTTATTAATTGGCATTTTTATATTTAAAAATGATGTTACATTGATGCAATGTTATGTTGATTGTATCATACTTATATTACAAATACGAAAGTTTAGATGGATGGATAGATATTAGAGTTTGTAGCCTAAACGGCTGAACGGATTTCAAACAAATTTGGTATAGATGTAGAAGCTAGTTTCACAATGATACAACGACTGTTACTTTTTTTACGACTGTTACTTACTACTGGCAATTAATAATTTTGAGTACTGGCTGAAAGTTCATCCTGCAAGATGCCATGGCGACGATCGAATACTGATGACCGTTGTCATTGAATGGTGGAATGATGCCCATTGTTATTGATAAAGTCAATTGGTTAACCTCTGTAATTGTTTGCAAATCCGATTAGATTGTGCTGTGTTAAGATGGTGTTTCTAATATTACGCGACTGTTATTTCATTGTCTCCAACATACGCACGGCCACAATTGGGGATAGTTACCGTATATTGATCTGCCTTCCTTTAATTCTGGAAACCGCTCGTCACTCCGACATATTAAACTTGAACAAATAATACAATTATCATAAATAAATACTTGACTCGATTAATTTATTCCAATTCTTTGTAATACGGATTACAAAAGGAACAAACATCAGTTTGCGAATGCGACTGACGCCTACAACAAAACTACTCCAGCCGTGTATCTTTATGTCCAGTTGATGTGCTGCAAATGTAATTTGCAACAGTAGGGATAACATCAAAAGAAATAGAATATTTAAAATTGATTATATTCTAGCGTCTTGCGAGTATTATTTAACTAAATAATTTGGTAATAAACAAGGCTTCAGTTTTTTGTACGAAGCGAATGTCTAAAGATCAGTGGTTGATGACGAAGTGATGTCTTCTAATGGCTGTCTTCATTCTTACTCATTTCCAAAGTCAGCATCTCGATACACGAGCCATTTAACTATGTAAACAAAGAGCTATCAAATGTTTTAGATGTACAGACTATCTCTGATTGGATCTATATGAAAAACGTATTTTAATTCGATCGTATTTTAATCATAACACTTTTAGTGGACATAAACATGATATAGAAGCGTCTAGAGGTTACAACTGGCAATTAAGTTTTAATTTTCTCACTAATTATATGAAAAAAGCCTTTCCGTGTTCGTTTAAGTGGATACAAGATACCTATTTATAGCCAACTTTTCTATAATACGATATTTTTATATCGATTTTATCGACTACTTTCTAATAACGTATAATGTTACAAAATACGCAATCAATCGATAAGGTTTTATAGATCTTCTAATAGTCTATGGAAAGGCTATTAAAAAGTTAGTAATAGACAAAAAATACTTTATAATGTCTCATGGTAAAATCTAATTCTCGGCATTTTTAATACTTCTCCAAGAAAAAAATTGAGATTAATTTTTGGCAACAAAAACATTAATTTTCCATAAATCTCGAGAAGTATTCAATGAATTCGAAATGGAATATTTGTATAATGTAAAAAAAACTTTTAAGTTGAAAGGTAAACTTCTAACGCCTTTTGTCGAACGAGGATTACACGGGAACTGCGTTAGGTCAGCCGCTGCCAGCTACCGATAATGGAATAAAATCGTGATTCTCTCACCATCTCGAACATTATAAGGTATTACTTTTGCCAATAAGCTCTTGACTGCCATGTTTTAAGGAAAACTTAACGAAGATTGTAAAGTTAATTGTATTATTCATAAAATCTACATTCTATACTGGCTTCAAATAAAAGGCAAACCAGCAGTAAGCCGGCCTGGTGGACTGGCCTTGTCACTGCTAACTTAGGGTAAGCTCCGAGCTCCTCAATGGGGATATATAGTGAACTGTGGATGATGATTTTGTTTCTTAGGTCCGAACCTACTACCTCAATATGCGATCGTTAGTCTTAACTATTGGGCTATTGGCGATAAAATTTCTGAGAACAAAGCGTCTACTACAGTTGTCGTACCATTTTCCTTTTACAATTATTCATTTGTAAATCACATCGCAGATACGATATTAATATCAAATTGTCAACATGATCTGTATCTATTAATTAAGAGTAAATAAACTTTATCGATCTAAGATGTTACAAACGGTCACACAAATCAATCTAGATGCGGTGAGATCAGATGGGCCGGACTCGGGACTCGGGGCGGTCCGGTTGGATCAATTTTCTGTTTACAGCCGCCGGCTATCAAAGAACACCGCCCTGAATCTACTAATTGGTGGTAATAGTAGACCGAACCAGCAACAACCAACTATTAAATTTAAGGCGAAATTGTCTACAAAATTTCTATAACAGTTTGATTGTTTCATAAAGGTTTGAACGTACATCCCGTGGGAAACCTTAAGCTCTACATCAAGGCTTAAAATCTTTTTATAGTTTTTTTTTTTTACTTTTTAAAGCACAAATATAGTTTTAAAAAAATCTTTTGGGAATGTTAAAATACATATTATGTTAACCTAAATACTACACCGGATTTAAAATTTGATTTTCTAATTAATTTACAACAAAAATTGTACTTTCGAAACGTTAAGTTAAAATAGATGAAGTGTCTAAAGTGTCATATAGGGCACGTGTTCTAAAAAAGGAGATAATACAGAGCACTTCTAACGATTTTTTGCTCGAAAAACTCTTATGAAAGAAACTCGACACAGTAATTTATAAAACAAGACGTCGCTCTGAGTACGAGATGATTGTTCCAGCACGGTTCAATGGACGCGTTACTCGTTAAGGAATAACGAAAAATGATACACTGAAAATAAATTACATACTAAGTTTTTATTACCTTCGAAAGCTTTATTAAAGAGCTTAACTTTCACTTCAACTTTACATTGTACATTAATGCTGCAGCATTGTTTGGATAACTTAATTTAGTAATCATTGTAAACATTTTTCTAATTTCTAACTATACAAGTTATAATTTAACACAAAGTGAATAAGTTCTGTATAATAACTTAACGATAATTGTAAGTTATTTACCACAAAATGTGATTCCAAACCAAAACACATATATCGCAAAAAGCATTATTGATAAAAGTAATATACATCATGAATGCAATAAACATAACATGGAAACATTTTACAGTAAATTAAATTAATAAAACGTTTAATAAACGACTGAACATTATTTCTCATAATACAAAATTGAAAATCGATTATGGCTAGAAGTCGTTAGCAAATTGAAAAACGTGCGAGTAAGAAAATACCAAGGCGTTTTTATTTTCTACTTAGAATTCCAGAGCATAGAATATTGCGCCCCAGAGTGTTTTCTTCAAGGTTCTTTAACGTAGTAACGTATAAAGACGAATTCTCATGTCAAGCAATGTCCGTAATGTGGAAATTCCATACGCTACACTTCACCGGACACGCTCACTGACCGGGAATCTAATGTTTCAACGTAAAAACGATACGCCAATAAATATTTCACCCGTCAAACAACCCGTATACTCAGCTCAATAATGTCCGATAAATCAAACGCCACGTATCTAACATTCTATTTGAATAATAACCTAACTTTCCCGATATCGGGTGTCGTAGCATCTTTACTAATTTATGAATAAGCGTACTGAATTCTTAAATAGTTGGAAACAGCAGTAAACTTTTCCCTCGAACTCCGTTACAAACGGTAAAGACAAATACCACTTAGCGACAACCAGGAAAGTGACTTGTGAAGACAAATAAAAAACTCGTAGCGTCTACTACTTTAAAATTCATGAAGGAGTTCAAATGTTTATTGCATTATTGTTGTTTATTTTCAAACACGTGACATTATCGAAGGAAGCGAGCAGCGATAACATTTATGAATTGACCTTTACAACACAAACAAAAGATAATAAACTCGTCTTGTCATACATATTATAAAACGGATTTGATTTATTATAGTGGTCTAATTAATTTATCCCCTACGTACCTTTTAAGCTCGTAGAAATAACGGCAGTTTTCTAAAGTCCGTCAACTTAAATTAAAAGTAAATAATTTGTAAATTCTAATTCGACAGTCACTAAAACAAGCGATTAGTTCGACATATTACGTCCACACTGCAGCACAGGCACAGTCAGATCCAGTTCATAGCACTCAACACGCGTGTAGTTCCGTATTAATTATTTTCTATTTATGATAATCACGAGATCGGACGTAATATACGATCCGGGATGAGGCAACGGGACACATGCGCTTCGCTCGCGCGCCAGGCGTATACTGACGATCTCCAGCGTTAAGCTTTTCTAAATATACACCCCCCGACATTTTCCCGCGCACCCTTCGAGCGCAACGCGTGTTCCATGCAATTTTCTATAAATTTTCGCATAAGCTCCAAAGCCATCCTGTCAAAAGCTGTTTTTGCCTGAGCTCATTCGGGAGCTGCTTTAGGTGCATTGTTGTTATTGAATTAAGCGACCTTAACCGAAACTCGTTAAACTGTTTGATAGCACAATATTGTGATAATAATGTAAGATGTTTTTTATTTAATTCAATTTGAAATAATGTTATTTCCATGTTTATTATTTGACATTCGAAAAAGTTTTAAAAACTCAAATAAAATCAGTTGGGTTGATTGCGTTATTTATTTTATGTTTCCTATTTTATTGTAATATCAACAAAATTGTGTAACATAATGAGCTTTTGTGCCTTTACACAAATAAGATAAATAATTAATATATATTTCAAATAAACCAGAACTTAAATTCAGTTTGTAATATGCGGAGCGAAATGTGCAAATTGTTTACCTGCTGATTCAAACGGCGAAATTTCTATAATGTGCGACAAATATAAAAAATGCAGCTGCTTCTATCCTTTTCCTAAAAACATTTGAGATGTAATTAAAAAAGGGGCTGAATAGGAATAGGTCTTCCGGTTAGTTTCAACAAACGAAACGCCAAAATAATATAGTTTTTGAAAATATAATTTTTGAATTACAAAAGAGAATTTAAAATTTGGTCTTTAATACCAATATATCTATTGTTATTGTTAAGAATCTTTATTCCAACATAGGGAATCTGTGACTAACCGTGAGACTAGATATGTATATTTAGCAGCATTTAGCAGTAAATACTATATATCTTCTGGTACAAAACTCGATGACAATCACTGAGTTTTCCGAACAATACGAACAGTGATTTAGTATTTGACAGTGGCAATTTATTGTAAAGCATTTGCCTGTTGCCTCACTTTAAGTTTACACACCTGGTGTCTGACAAGGGCATAAATAACTCTTATAAACTCTATTACAACTACCATAAATATCAGTTTCCTTTGTAACCGCTTAATTTTTCGATAGTCTACAGACTTGATTTGTAAATCAAATTATACTAACTTTAAAATCACATAAAGTATCTGCAATAGTTCACAGTATAGTATAGTTACCTCAAAGGCCGGCAACGCATCTGTAGTTCCTCTGGTGTTGCAGATGTCCATGGGCGTCGTTGACCACCTTTGTGTTCCCGCCGCTCGTTTGCCCCCTTCTCTTATAAAAAAAAAAAAAGTATAAAGAACCTGGCAATCACATTATCATCGTGTCTTATTCGACCTTTAGTCACTACCATTGTCTACGTGCTAACTAGAAGTTAAAATATAACTTTTAATAACAATAAAAACCTAACCTTAAAACTTGTGATAAGAAACTTGAACGTAGAAGCGTCGATGTTATTCAAATTTCGAACGATACTGAAACTAAACTTACGAATTACTTGACAAGTTCAAATTATATCTAGTTTCGTAGTAGAAGTAGCTTCGTACCGTGACTTCATCCGTATGGAAATAAAAAAAAAACTTAGTAAGTAGCTTATATGTTCTTTTAGACTGCGTTCTACATTTGTACTAAATTTTATCGAGATCCGTTAATCATTTTGGAGTTATCTATACTACCTATCTTACTAATATTATAAAGAGAAAACATTTGTATTTTTATATTTATTAAAAAAACTCAAAAACGAATAAGTCGATTTTAACAATTCCTTTGCCTTTAAAAAGCTACGTTATCAACGAGAAACATAGGTTTTTTGTTATTTTTTTTTATTAATTTGACGCGAACAAAGTCGCGAGCAACGGTTAGTTTGAAAGTATAATCAAGTATTATCTACCTTAATTCGAAAACAGATATCTCTATCACTATGTGTATTAACTATTAATCCCAGTGACACAATGAACTTACAATAGTCACGATTCTTAATGGAATCCCGATTCAGCCCATCCACAGTCAATATAACGAATTTCCGCAGATATCGAGTGGCCTGCAATAAATTACCTGGCGGCCACGGTAAATCAGGAATGGTAGACGATACGAGATTTCTTAGCTTACGCCCGCCCCGTACCCACATAAATAAAAAACGATCACCCCGCCGCAACTACTTAGGGCTCTTTACTACAATCATTTTATTTATGTAAGAACATAAATAAAATATCCAATGCATTGTTATCGTTTTTTGGATTAGATTTATTACTTATTTCTTAGACTCTGTTCTTTATATTAAACTAGCTTTCGCCCGCAACTGCGACCGAGAGTTATAAAAAAATATTGTATGTATTCTTCCAGACTATTTTCTACTTCTATACCTAAATTGTTCTATACCTAAATCTGTTGATGCCTTGTAGAGATACATTCTAACAAACATGCATCAATATGATCTAAACTATAGCATTTATAATATTAATAAGGTTATTTATTTCTATAACTTCAGTAACTCTTTGTTTCAATCTCATATTGTCAATCTCGTGTTCGCTTAAATGGCGGAACGCTCGAATGTAAATAAAGCTTACTTCATCGATCACCTGCCAAACCGCGCAATATATGGCCCGATATTTTATCCAAAGCGCGGACACTTTGAGCAACTGACAAACTGTAACACTTTACAATAACTATGCAAATTTAATCTACGTACTAGCATCAACATAATGGTGACACTCGTTCTAACAACCTCGGAGGTAAATTCCCTCTATAGTAGACACTTCGTTGGGAATAAATTTGCTTCAATATTGGTTCTTGAAAAGCGTGCCATTACACATCATCATCATCACCAGCTCACTATATGTCCCCACCGAAGGGCTCGGAGCCTACCCTAAAGTTAGAGTGACTAGGCCATAGTCAACTACGCTGGCCAAGTGTGGGTTGGTTGACTTCACACATATCTTTGAATTTCTTCGCCGATATGTGCAGGTTGCATCACGATGTTTTCCTTCACCGTAAGCACATATGAAAATTCGAAAAATCGAAAATCACATTGGTACATGGCGGCGGGATTCGAACCCAAGACCTCTAGATTACAAGTCAAGTGCTTAAACCACTGAGCCACCGACGCTATTACACATAAACACCAGAAACTAAGAGCGCCCACACATCTTTGACTAAATTATCGCACAACAGTTTGGTCGCGCTTTGATTCCTATGATCTTAAATGGTGCGCACAGTGCTCGATTTTTAGTTGTGCTACTAAGCATTTGATTGAGCTGCGAAACAATAGACAATCGCACACAGTTGTGCGATTGTTCAGTCAAAGATGTGCACCCGCTCTAATAGTAATATAGTTTATATATTAATATGAAAATACTAGCTTTTGCCTGCGGCTCCGCCCGCGTAGAACTAAAAAAAGTGAGTAGCCTATGTGTTCTTCCAGACTATCCTCTACATATATATACCAAATGTCATCGAATTCCGTTTAGTCGTTTAGGCTAAAAACTCTAACAAACATCCATCCATCCATCCATCTAAACTTTCGCATTAATAATATAAGTATGATTCAATTAGTTCTGCCGATACGAACAACTATAGTTTACTTTGTACTTGACTTTCTCTCTCCTTCTTTGGCTTACTATTTTCTGCCCTACAATCATTAATCCTACATTTAGTTCAACAACTGTTTTTTTACCAAAATAAACCGAATAATCTACAATAGATATTTTAAAAATATTGACTAGTTATTGTCACCTTTAATTTCATAAATTAGGCAACGTATAGTCTGAAGCAATAATTTTATTACATTAGGGCGCACCTACACAAAATCCAACAATAAGGACCTAGCACAGCGAAGTTTCGGGAATGGTAAAGACATCTTTGTTGTTCCAGGTGTGCTGTGGCAAGCGAAAGCATGCCCAGATACAGCATTATATGACTTATACCAATGAAATAAGGTTTAAATTTGAAACACAAAATCCTAGCATTCGCAACTCTACAGCATTTTAAAGTAATCCTCACTTACAATCAAGAGTAAGAACATTTCTGTATCGATACTTGAAAGTTAATTCAAAAGTAATAATCTAGTTATACTGATATTATAAATAGGAAGGAGTTGTATTTTTGTCACCGATGTCAAATATTCTTTCACCGTTAGAAAAGTAATTTATCTGTGAGTGTCATAGGCTATTTTTTTTTATTTCACGCGTGCGAAGTCGCGAGCAATAGCTATATTAAACAAATTAAGCCTGCTAAATAAGCTAACTTATTTCCTTTTCCCACTTTCCGTCTAAAAAGTATCACATTTGAAACTCGACTGTTTATTCTTTTTAAAAATTGTTAACGATCATCCTTATACATAGTTTTAAATACATGATGACGATGACAGACAAAGAAAAATCGATTGTACTACGAATATTACAAATGCCAAATTTTAGATATGAACGGATTTCGATAATTTAGCATAGATGTAGAGAATAGTTTGGAAGAACAGATAGGCCGCTTACTTTTGTATTTTTTTTTAAATTCCACGCAGACGGAGTCGCGGACGAAAGCAAGTTCCAACAGGTAACAAGGAATGGACATACAAAACATATGCCAGACACATTACATTCCTGTCACTCCGGTAAGAATTACAAAGTTATAAAAGCACTTAGAGAAATTAAATTTGTATTTCCCGTAGTGGGATAACAGCAACAATGTGAATACGGCAGCATGAGTACGAAAGTCTCGACGTGTAACTCGAGAGCGTTATTGAGTTGGTACTTTAGCGACAGTAGTGTAGGAATGTCTTCGAGAATTCCACTCGAGACATGCTATTGCACTAACAATAACACAATTAACTGGCTGTTGTATTTGAACAACTTATTATTTATTTTATTAGTTTACTAACTGACGCATGTATCGTAGTACTATCTATAGTCATAATAACATTACCTATCTGTCTTACCAAAGGGTAAAACCAAATCTCTCAAATAATATTGTAGTTTAAGAGCCAGAAAGGTAATAAATAATATACAATATACGAACATACGTATTCAGAATTATTTTACACTGGTAAAATTAAAAATAATGTTTCGGATCTGTTCTATTTTGTTCAAAAGATTTCGTATTCATTGGATTAGAATTCCAAACTCCGAAAGAGAAAAAGAATTTTGATGTCATAAAAAACTACATCGTATTATTTTTTAATACGTCGTGGAACATATTTAAATGCGTTACCTATTGGCAAAATATAGAATCTACCACAAATATTTGTAATCATGTTTGAATTCTAGTGCGACAGCTTACAACTAGATGGCGCTAAAAACAAACTACAAATCCCTAATTACCACAATTTGCAAAATTGGTCATTAGATAGTTTCAAATTATGTTTTTATTGGCAGCCGTGTAAATTTGGGAACCAATTAGAATAAGCTTAACAATTTTCGAGTGTTAAGGAACTAGGTAGCAATTATTAAGGTGAGTTTCCCCTAACAAAACACATATTTAAAATCAAATGACTGTCATAAATATCGTCAATATGATTTGCTACTGGAAAGTAGACAAATAGAAGAATAACGAACAAAGCAAACAATATTTTCACTTGTATTTTTATGTTAAATACGTATTAATATACAAAAACATAACCCAACATTGAGTTTTTTTATAATACTTAACGCAAAATTTAATGAAATTCATGACCACCATTAAAGCCTTGAAGCAATAAATTAATCAGATATGATATTATTAGTCACTAATAAAAATTAAATTCATGACATAATAAGTAAAGGTCGTTATCAAGGTATCAACGTACGAAATTATTAAAATTTAGTAAGGTAGTTAAAAAAATTTTGACCATCCTGGTGAGTATTATTTCAGTAAGGTATAGAAGTAAAATTTAAATGGACATTTTGAAATTAATATGTTAATGTTATAAACTAGAAGCAGCCACATGAATTCGCCGAAATAGCGAAACGACCGCAACTCTCAAACAATGCACCGTCAACCTATAATCGAAGGAAGAAACGCACAGTAAGTAGATATTTAGTTCAATGTACCATTGTTAAATTCGTACAAAAGATTGTATCACTGTTTCCAAAAATAATTTGAGAGATAATAACATATTTTTTTTGGAATAAAAAGTTTTTTAATTCAACTTTCTATTACTAAATTAATTGGTATAAATCTAATTCATGAAAACGTTTGATAGAAGCACATTTTAAATGGTTATCACTATCATAATCTGCTAAAATATCGATGTCCAGTGAGTGGGTTTTATCAGTTTTAATCGCTGAACAAGTAGTACAGTTCTCCTTCAGTTATAATTGATTGGCGTTACAGTGCAGACGATAGTGTTTGTGTTGTGAATTGTATTTACAAGTGTCAGTTATGCGTCCAAGCATCTGATAAAGATGGTATGTACACATGAGATTTGATTCCTCGAAATTCAGTACCTTTTTGATAAGATTTCGTTTTACTAATCATTGTTAGTTACAAACGGTATCGTGTGTTTATTTTGGATTTATAGTTTACTCTCCGGAATAAATCAATCATACTTAATACTAATATTATAAATGGAAAAGTTTAGATGTATGAATGGAGTTTGTAGCCTAAACGGCTCAACGTATTTTAATGAAATTTGATATAGACATAGAGGTTAGTATGGAAGAACGCATAGGCTACCCAATTTTCTTCTTTTTTATTTCCTCTGGGACGGTGTCGCGGGTGAAAGCTAGTTTTATAAGACAATAAATACCTGAAATGCTTAATTCATACAAAAACTTCTTAAAATCAAGATTTATGAGTCATTTTTCAGTGTTCTATATCGTAAATTATTACTTGTAAAACATTTAAAATGTGTTTACAGAACAAATGCGAAGGAAAATCAGTTTTGTTGTTTTATATTTTACTAGCTTTCGCCCGCGACTCCGTCCGCGTGGTATTAAAAAAAACAAGTAGCCTATGTGTTCTTCCAGACTGTCACCTACATCTATACCAAATTTTATTGAGATCCGTTCAGCAGTTTTGGCTACAAATTCTAATAAACATCCATCCATTTAAACTTTCACATTTATAATATTAGTATGAAAGTATGATTTTGGACTATTCTGCCCTTCCACCATTAAAAACAGGCACTCATTATAGTTAATATAAATTTAAAATGTGCTAATAAATGCAATAAAGCTACTTGAATTACAATTCTCAAAGAGTTTAACCTTTTTTATCCACAAATAAAACAAGTACTGATTTTTTATCAGCAAAATACTTTTACAAGTAATCATTAGAATAATTGCCAGTAGATATTCGCATATACACACAAAGTATTATCAGTGAGATAGTATTTCTTAACATTTCCTTGCCTGGGTTTTTATAACATTTTATATGTAGTCAATTTTATACCAATAGATAGAGAAATTATAGAGACAAAAAATATTGATCGTCTCTATCAAAATCCTCATACACTAACTCATAAATAATTAAATTCAGAGTTGTATAGAGGTCATAAGATAGACTACTATTCATTAACACTGCGTAGGACTCTCCAAAGTGTATGCACATAACATAATTATTCGTGCATTTCTTCAATTAGAAACTCTTCATCAATGTGTTATGGAATTAATCTCTCAATATCCAGGTTCAACAACATAAATAAATCTCCTGTAATTTAAACGGTTTTATAGTCATTAAATTAGTGCCAATGTATTCAGTAGCATGTATTAATTTACCAGGATGATCGCACGCTATCTCGGACCACAGGGTCCGTGGTGCTTCAAGTGGGTGCTCTGGAGCTATTGGCCAGATACTCTATGAACTCAAACAGGGCGACCAGCATGTTGTCATCTTTACATGAATTTAGAACACAAGAAGTCGAACAATCAGGCGGTAAACAGTGGAATTGGAAGTATTTAAGGGTACTTTACAAACATTTAAAGCTTTTTGAACACCAGGACTGCTTCTAGAATTTCGTCTTTAATTCATTTGTGATACGGTTTATTATCTCTCATCATTTTATTGCTTGGGTATAGTTTTATCCATTCTGAAGAATCTATCTAATATTGTGTTATGTGTACCAACTTACAGGATCAATTCTTCCAAAAAGATTTGGAAGGTCTATACCGAAAATATGATGATAAACTAAGAGAATCATTAATATACATTTACGTTACTCTGCTTACCCTCTTCTCTACGGCTCACATCATTCTAGTCATTGTCAGTACGTATAATGAGGTTAGTAATTAATTAGCTATTTTTTTATTCAATCGATGTGTATTAACAATATTTAAGCACATAGATATACCATTTTTCTCAAAGTTACATCGATTTAAATGTAAAAACATCGATTTAATATATCGATTTCCAGTTTGTTTAAGATTAACTCATCGACTGTCTTAGACATGATACATATGTTCGACACGACAGATAACAAGTTTGATAACAAAAAATTCCCCCACTCATTGTTAGGGACACATTGTTTAATGATTAGAAGTAATTTATAGTGCGCATTAAGAGCGGTCGCACACCTTTGACTAAACTATCGCACAACAGTGTGCGATTGTTGATTGTTTCGCAGTCCATTCAACAGTTTAGTTGCACAAATAAAATCGAGAAGTATGCGCCTCCATATAAGTTCATAGGAATCAAAGCGATATATAATCAGTTGACAAGCGTGTGCGCTCGCTCGAAATCGATCTTCGTAAAGCATCCTTTTTACCCTTACCATCTCTTTTAATGTCCTTTTATTTCTTCAATATCGTAAGGAAAGGGACCAAGAGTATAAGGGAATAGAGCAAGAAAAAGAAGTAAGAGTTTTAAAATGTAGATGTTCAGATTCAAATTCATGATAGTATTCTGTAAAGCCATAGTTCTAAGTTTCAGGTAATAAACTGTTTTACTTCTACTAATGTATTCTTGTTATATATTTGTTCCAGCAAGTACAGTGGAAATCGACATACCTGTCTATGGGAATGTACATATTAAGAATAGCGGTTCCTGTGGTTTCTTTGTGGAAATGTTTCTACAAACCATTGAAGAGGAGATGGTTTTGGATGCCAATTTTCATCACGTTCATAATAACCGCTGATCTTGTTGCTTCAGGTTTGTAAATGTTGGATTTTGTTATTGTTCATTGAAACAATAGATCTCATGAATGACTTCTGATTTCAATTTATTTCTGTTTAACCTTGTGAATCAGGATGGATGTTAGAGTTTGTAGCCTAAACGGTTGAACGAAGATCGATGAAATTTGGCATAGATGTAGAGGATAGTCTGGAAGAATACATAGGCTACTTGGATTTGTTTTTTTTTTTTAATTCTGCGAGGACGGAGTCGCGGGCGAAAGCTTGTTATAAATAAAATATTAAAAGCTGAATCGTAATTTGTAATTTTTAAGGAAAATTGATCGTGAAATTCTACAATTTGGCCTTGCATTCCTGTAACATTCAATTTAAACACACCTCATTAAATGATTCAATAATCGGAAGCGATTACAGCTAAATGTTTAATAAATTTGATAATCCAAACATGAATTTTATTATTACAGATATATCAGTAGCAATATACAGTTATCACGAAGGTATATCTCTAAGACCGGCGTATGATTCAATGGCGCTTCTATCCATTTATATATTTCTACCGATGAGGAATAATATTTTAGTCATAGTGCTCGGTGTAATAGTTAGCGTTGTCTACATTCTCGTCTTCGCATTCTTCACGTACTACGGCGATACTTATATTGAAGTCGTGGTAAGTTGTCACCATAGTTACAACTGGTAACCACAAGGACAAAAGTATATCGTATTTTTTGCTTGAAATAAGTGTTAATGATTTTTCATTTTTAATTCAAGGTGGCATCAGATACAATTTTTCTGATCGGAGTCAATTTAATGGGGATATATTTTAGATTGATGAACGAAATTGTAACAAGACGATCCTTCTTGGATAGAAGAGCTTGTGTTGAAAGTACACTGCGACTTAAGTTTGTGAAAGACCAAGAGGTAATGATCATTTAATAACTGTCCATATAAATGTACAACAAAATAATTGTAACAATTCCTTATATTAGACTACGTAACTCAGTAATTGAAGTTGATGTTACGAAAAAGCTTCGTCGAATTTGATTCCAAAAATTCTTAGAGCCTATCCCACCACTGGTTGATAGAGGCTCAGATAGCTTAAAAATGACGTCACTGTTAGATAGGGAGCAAAATCCGATAATACCATCACATATTTTACACGTTGGAATGTTACCAGATAATTTGCAATTTGGTAGGACAGGCCCTAAAACTCTAATGTAGTTTACTTAGAAAACATTTCAGATATGGATCTTTTTGAATTTCTCTCTTTTTTCTTTTTCTTCTTTCCTTTTCCTTTTAAATTCAACATTAATTTTCAAAATTTACTTTTCATTTCTTTTCGATTTGTGTCAAAATACTCAATTAATACATACCACATTGTTAAAACTTTCGTCTTTTGTATATCCATCAATATTTTTTGACTAAAGATCTAGATAATCATAATTGATAAGCCTTCACTGATTTTATCTGTTCATAAACATGTGTTCCATTCATGTAACATTTGGTTTGGACAAATTATTGTGTTAGGACAAATAAATTGATTAGCTAACAATTTATGACAGCAATTACGTATCTAATTGTTTTGAATAATTTTAAAATTACTTGTTTTTTTTACTGTTGATATCGAATACTGCACTAAACAAGAATGATATTAAATATCATTCATCAGCCTTTATCTGCCCACTGCTAGCACAAGTCTTCCACAAAATACGGTCCTCTGCTTTTCGCGATTTCGATAATGAGCTTCATAAACTTTAAAATTTACCCAAATAAAAAACTATAGTTTCAGTTAACAATTTATTATCACTAATACAAGATTATCTAGTAATTTGAGTTTTATTTTATGAGTACAATTATGACATTTCTGTATTACAGGAACGTCTGATGTTAAGTATATTACCGGAGCACATCGTATCCAAAGTGCGTCAAGACATACGGACAATGTTTCTTGACATCCAATCACAGAGCCACACTCACAACATGAAATCATTCAAGTACGTAATCAACAAATGTTTATTTTTATAAGCATTTTTATCAGATTAAAATAGAAATTTTAATCCTCAACTCATCAATCAAGTTTTTTGTTTTTTTCTATTATCTAATATTCTACCTCCATGTTTGTACTTTGTCTTGTACTTTAGACTTTATTTTAGAGTGGTAGAGCCCGCTTTAATATCTTAGAATGGGTCAGGTCGCTTAGTGAAATACCACGACTCAGGTGGTACACTCAGGGTACACGATTCAGGAGGCCGCTTGCTCGTTTGTCGCCTTATTATATAAAAGAAAAAATGTTCACGATGACTTCGTTATTTTTTAAAGTTGTGATTTTTAATATCCAGAAATAGAGATGTTTCTAACATAATTATAAATTTAATATTGTAGCCAATTATATGTAGAAGAGCATAAGAATGTAAGCATTTTGTATGCTGATGTGGTTAACTACACCAAGATATCAACGACTTTGTCTCCAATGCGGATGGTGGAACTATTAAATGAACTCTTTGGACGATTTGATGAAGCTTCTGAGGTACGAATTTGTGTATTATTTTGATTTTTATTAACTATCTAGCTTTCACCCGTGACTTCGTCCGCGTGAAATTAAAATAAAACAAAAGTAAATCAGCCTATGTGTCCTTCCAGAATATGCTCTACATCTATGCCAAATTTTATCAAGATCCTTTAGACCGTGTAGGCAACAAACTCTAACAAAAATCCATTCGTTCATCTATCCATCTAAACTTTCGCATTTATAATATCAGTAAGAAGTAAGATTGATCACAGGAAATATTTCATTTATTATCTAATTATTCAATTGACTGTAAAAGTAAGCTTTCTTCCAGGAGTACGATGTTCTAAGGATTAAATTTTTAGGCGATTGCTATTACTGTGTCAGCGGTGTGCCCAAACCGAGCGTGTTACATGCGAAAAATTGTGTTGACCTTGGATTAGAAATGATCAACATTATTAAAGATGTTAGGTTAGTTTATTCATTTAAAAATTAACAGACAAAATTGATTTTGATGTTATTTTAGAATCTGTTAATGTTTCTTTTTTAATTTTCAGAGAAAAGCGTGCGTTGAATATAGACATGAGAATAGGTGTACATTCTGGAAAGATTCTTAGTGGACTTATAGGTATTCGGAAATGGCAATATGATATATGGTCCAGAGACGTAACGATTGCCAGTAAAATGGAATCAACGGGAAAAGCGGGGTAAGCATAAGCAAACTCTTTTAAATCAGGATAAATTTAGACATACCTTGATAACTAAGAAAAAGAATTAAGTTATATTTTTAGGTGAATTTATCGTAATATTATAATAAACGGAAAGGAATTGAATAAATTATTGCAAAGTTAATACATATACCTACAAAAATTAGGAACATAATTAAACCAATATTTCATATATTTCAGTAAAGTTCACATAACGAAGCAAACATTAGAACTAATTTTAGACTTTGCTCGAGACTACATAATTGAGCCAAATTTCGAATCTCAAAATCATCCTTTCATGAAGAAAAACAAATTGGAAACTTATTTATTATCCAGACCTCAAAGGGTAAGTAAAATCACACTAAAATTTTACCCATGGTTAGTACTGGAATAATCAAAATTCAAATAAAACACTCCGATAATACTTAAGGTGTAAAAAATTATGTGACTTTTTTCCAGCCATTTTCCGAATACAAACCATTCAGGAGAGCGTCAGTTGGATTTAATAAAATAATTAATTCAAGATCACGCAATAGAGTAAGTTTATATTTGAATAATATTATTAAAGATAAATAAGTAATAGTGATAATAGGTTAAATGCATGATTCTGTTATGCATCTTTGTTTCTAGTAGCGATCGGAAAATAGGAATTCGTCAAATTTCCGACGTACAACTTTCATGGATGAAAACTTAGTGGAGTATCAGCAAATGTTAAAGGCAGCGGACGCACAAATGGCTAAAGAAATTGAGGATATGACAAATGGGAAGTAAGTTCGTACACCTTTCTTTACTTCTCTTCCTAATATTTAACCTTTTCCCATTTTTTTATGTTAATATTTGTCCACAAAGAACAGGCGCACACTGTTGGTTAAACTATCGCACAACTGTTGTCCGATTGTCGATTGTTTCGAAGCCAATTCAATTGTTTAGTAGCACAACTAAAAACCGAGTAGTGCGCACACCTCCGTACCAGCTCAGAGGAATCAAAGCGTGACTAAACTGTATAATATAATAAAAGTAAATAATGTAATAAATTAGTCAAATGTGCGCGCGCTCTAAATGTGCATCCTAAAAATAAATGTAAAATTTTAAAGGTTACCCGTTCATTACACTTAAATGATAGCATAGTTTTGAAATATCAATTTATTTGAAAAAGAAATAATCGCAGATTAGCAATGAAACTTAGGCTTAAGATTACTGGACAAAATCACTCAATTTCACAAAAACAAATCATGCATATGACAGTGTATTTTTATCTTTAAATTTGATATGATTTATTTGATTTACTTTTATATTTCAGGGAGCATTTTAGAAAGGAATCGAGCCTAAACAGGATTACTTTAATGTATAAAAATTTCAAACTCGAGAAATCTTTCCTTCAACTACCCGATCCATTGTTCAAATATTACATAACTTGCTGCCTCATTATTTTACTTCTGATCCTACTAATTAATGGATTCACAACGAACTGGTGAGCTTTTATTACTATAGAAAAAAAAATCCACGTTTCTTTTTTTTACACAAAGAATCCTTAATTACTTTATTTTGACTCTTCATTGAAAAAAGTTTAAACTAAAATTGTATACGAGGATACTGTAATACATATTTTATTACTAGTAACATCTTTAGTTATTAAAACTAATTTACGTTCCAGGTTTAGGGGATTTAAGTGGTTTACATGCGGTATTTTTGGTATATTAATAATAACATTAGTGATTCTCCAACCATTAACATGGTTTCAATTCCTATGGACGAAGTATAAAGGTATTGACGAACCAAGAAATAAATGTCTTCGTTTCATTTACGATTTATCAGTGAAAATTATAAAATCTGCTAAAATACGAACGGGGATTTATTTACTAATAAGTGTTGGACTCGCAGCTACGTCTGTGGTTAATGTTATCGCTTGCTCCGAAGTCGATGTGGAACCTTCAACAGAAACCGTTCTATCGAATTGTGTTTCGTCGTGGGTAATCATATTTTTCATTTAAATTGTGTCTTTTATTTCATTAGTCATCTTCTTACTGTATTCTTTGTTGCAGCACGTAACACAATGCTGGAGTTTAGCTTTGCTCCTGAATTTCCTCTTCAGCAGAGTTTTCTTTATATTTAAATGGATAGTTGCAGGCGCCATGACAACGTTTTACTTATGGGTTGTTTGGGATTTAAAGTCATCTCTATTCTCTATCGATCTGACTTGGAACGTTGGATTAGATTCGAGAATTTCCCATACACTCTCTGTTGTCTTTATTACTGTTACATTGTATTGGATCGACCGCACGACTGAATATAGAAATCGACTGGATCATTTGTGGCAGATACAGTTGAGTGATGAACAAACTGAAGCAGAAACAATGTTAAGAGTTAATAACATGCTCTTAGAAAATATATTGCCTGCACATGTTGGTATGTAACAGTTAAAAAAAAGGAATTACCTAAGCGTTACTATTATATATTATCATTCAAATTAGGAAAATAATTGATGATAAAAAATTGTTTTTTTGTTTTAGTTCAAGTTTATTTGGATCTAAATAGACCAATAGATGAATTGTACTACGAGAAATATGACAATGTGGCTGTTATGTTTGCATCGTTAACTGATTATAAGCTTGGAGTTGAAGACGACAGTGATCTGAGCGATAAGTTTGTTTTACGAATATTGGACGAAGTTATTTCTGATTTCGACAGGGTAATCTTTCAATTTATTTATAAAGTCACTAGATAAACACAAATTTCGTTGGAAATATGAAAGGAAGCTTCAGCGTTATGAAGCTTGGAATCATTTTTGTTCAAGGTAACATTTATTTTACTTCATAAATATATAATCTTAAATTTTTAGCTGCTACTCACTGGAGCGTCAATTTATAAAGTAGAAAAAATAAAAATGGCCGACTGGACATACATGGCTGCATGTGGTTTAGATCCGAACAGACGGGAGTCATTGGATTCTTCAACATTCGAGTCTGCTGTTGATAGAAGGCAAAATAGTCCCTATAACCGCGCATTAGTACTGACTATGGTCGAATTCGCAGCAGCAATGATGAAGCAACTGAAAAATTTTAACCGTGGATCATTTCAAAGTTTTGAAGGACTTAATTTAAGGATCGGTGCGTATAATGCCAATGTTCTCTTAAACAAATTTTGTACCCTCCTTTTAAGGAATATCATTAAATCTACAGGCATTTCCAATGGAGAAGTAGCAGCTGGAGTAGTCGGTTCCCTTAAACCATTGTACGACATTTGGGGCAATGCTGTTAATATGGCCTCTAGAATGGACTCCACTGGTGAAGCGGGAAGAATTCAAGTATATTTTTTATCTTATTTTATATGTAAAATTCTTCAGATCTAAGAGCTCACAGTTACAATAATTTTTTCTTCTAGGTAACTGAGAATACTGCACTTTTGTTGGACGCATGTGGCGTGCTAACATTATACCGAGGTGAAACTTTTGTAAAAGGCCCAGGATACATCAAAACCTATTTTGTGCCATTGGATGAAAACTTCAATCTGATTAAAAAGGAACACAGCTCAGAATACTACAATAGCTTGTCAGATAGGAAACGTTATTACAGCGTTCGAGATGATTCCAGTGACGTGTCTTACGAAACTGTACCTAACGCCACACAATTTACAGTTCACAATAGAAGTTATTTTGTACCAGAATCGACACAAGTCCATGATGATAAATATTCTGAGGTTTCTGAAGATGAAACACTAGACGATGAAACTCATGGTGATGATCAAAGTGATAGTGATGAAGTATTTATAGAAGATTGTGATGTGTCAGATGTTAGTAGCTTAAGTACTGTCACTTCTGATTCCAGTGAGTCATCTGACACTACATCTGAACCAAAAATAATTGAAACAAAATGTTAAGAAAACCTAGACATTATATCAAATTACTAGATATATTACGTAATACTCATAACAGACTGTAGTCTTACCTTTTTCTGAATTTGTAACAGAAATGGAAAGCAAGCCTGTGACTTTCTAATGTCGATTTCAAATTTTGAAACTACCCATTTTAGATTTTGTAAATCTTTGAAGATTGGGTTTTGCCTATATCGATTGAGTTGACTTCTATATTTGAATGTCTACATTATAATAAGAAATTGGTCCTTTTGTAGTAATGAATGTTTTTAAAGTTTGATTGTTTAGTAAATAAGTAAATACCGTATGTTATCGATTTATCTACTATAAACTGATTATTTCGTTTCCTCTAAAATTATGATTTTAGAGGAAACGAAATTGCTATGCCAATTGTGTGTCAAGACGCAACATTGTTGAAATTTTGAATTTCTCTAAGTCACCTAACTGTATTCAATTCTGCTTCAAATATTTATAAAAATCAAATTTATAGTAGTAAATATTTCTAGTTTTTCAGAAAATTTATGTTATTAAGTTTGAAAGCAATAAATTCTGAAGTGCTAGCTGTTAGATTTGGATAGACGCTTGATCTGAATTTTTTTTATTATTTATTCATTTCAAATAATTTTTATAGTAATTGAAATTGTTGAATTAAAAAAATCATAATCTTCTCGGCTTATTAGTTATATAAATATAGATGCCTACTTTTTTAATATGTTATAATCATAGTGCACATATCGGTGAAGAAATTCAAAGATATGTGTGAAGTCAACCAACCCGCACTGGGCCAGAGTGGTTGACTTTGGCCTAGTCACCCTAACTTAGGGTAGGCTCCGAGCCCCTCGGTGGGACATATAGTGAGCTGGTGATGATGATGATGATAATCATAGTTTTATGCGTTAAAAATACTTTTAATACTTATATGTTGTAAGCTAATTAAACAGTTAAAAATCATCATAAAATCTATTATTTTTCCAAATAATTACAGTGATTAAGTTGAGGACATTCAATAAATTGCCATATCTCGTGTAATTACAAACTGGTTTCAAAATAATTGTAGCATTAAACGACACCTCGCAGGACCAGTTCCTTCGTAAATCCATAACCTACATAGAACTTAACTATAGATGAATTTTAAAAGGCCGCGCACAACTTTGACTAAACTATCGCCCAACTGCTTAGTCGGGATTTCATTACTATGAGCTAATATAGAGGTGCGCACACTACTTGGTCTTTAGTTGTGCAACTAAACAGTTGGATTGGCTGCGAAACAATCGAGAATCACACAATAATTGTGCGATAGTCTACCCAAAGGTGTGCGCGCGCTGTAATGTTTTAATTTGTAATTATTACATTAAAAAAATAAAGTGAAATGGCAATCCAAAAAATGACTTGGAGTATCACTTTAATGTAAATATCCACAGTGGGGCCTCTCAGAAGTAAAGTAAACAATCTGATTTTAAATAAATATCTATTTATTAACAAAACCTTTGTAACATTGATCTAGTAACTACTTCACAACAACCGATTACATCCAGTGGTACTGAACAGTTGGCATTTTAATCCAACTTAACTTCGAGCAAAACTGGAGTTTTATCGAAAAAGCAGAGAATAACTTTGTACATCGTCTCCAAGGGATTCTTCTCAGATATTTTCTCACATGCATTAACAGCTGCTTTGATTTGTTCCTTTTTGTCACTCTTTTCATACAAAGCTAATATTTTATCCTTATGGAAGTGTCCAGTTTCGTCACTGAAGCCGGCTTTCTTGAACAGACAGAAGGAGAACTTCTTGCTAGTCTTGTTGTTGTCGAACTGCCATTGGAAGATACGCTGTAGGATGTTGATGTCAGCTCCAGTTTCGGCGATACATTCTACGGACTTCTCCGTTATCAGGCCAACGATATCAGATGGAACACCGATCGTCGCCTGTAAAGTGCGGAATTAAACATTCGTACAGAGAAATTAATGTTTTAGGGCCTGCCGCACTGAATTTTAAATTATCTGATAACGTGATATCGTGTAAAACATGTGATGGAAATATCAGATTTTGTTACTATATCTGACGGTAGCGTCATTTTTACGCTATCTAAACCTCTATCAGCCAGTGGTGGGACAGGCTCTTAGTAAAGTATTTTTACACAAAACCCGTAAATAAGTCCATGTTTCCTTTTAATATTAAAAATAATGTAGTTAACATTTGACACAAATATATAGAAATTAACAAGATACTAATTATTACATTTTGTTATATTGATACCCCAAGTTTTGCCCAATTTTCTAGTTTTTGTACTGTAATTTTTTTTTTCGTTTAAAAAAAATCAAATATAGACTTTAAAAAATAATACAAACATATAATTTTTAAACAACACTTTCAAGCTTTTACATTTTACCAAAAAATTAAAAACCTTACCTTTTTAGCACTTGTTATTCCAACCAGAACAGTGCACAAGAATAATAAAGTGGATGTTTTGAACAACATTTTGGTTTACAAATAATTATTTTACTATGATGTGTTCCACTAGTGCTTATTGCTGGTTACTGAGTACTGATCAATACTGCCAACCATTTTTATATACCCTGTTCACTTTAGCGTCATAATATTAAAATTACTTGTCATAAATTACCCTATGTTTTTTTTATAAAAATCACGTTTTATCATTATCTAGTGAAATTACAAATGACCATGTATGAATAATATCATTCGTTACAACGATGCATAATTGTAAGCTATCTTTACATTTTACCTTCCTTAAAATTTAATCTATGATATTTAAATAATACATTTAAACATTAATGAAAAACCTAAAGTTGTCTAGAAGTAAACTATCTAAACTGTCTGGGTTTATTCTAATAAGAACTTACAACCTTATTTGTATATCATAATTTCATTGCAAGACTAAACCCTAAGGGCCTGTCCCACCACTGACTGATAGATTCTCACATAGCTTAAAATGACGTCACTGACAGATAAGGGAACAAAATCCGATATTTTCATCAATTTCTTTTTATTCAACTAATATTTACATTTAAAAAACTCATCATCATATGTCCGCACTAAGGTGCACGGAGCCTAAACAAGTTGGTTGACTAGGCTCGACCACGCTGACCCGGTTAGTTAACTTTACACATATTAACTATATTTTAATTTCCTTGCAGATGTGAACCAAGAGCGGATAAAGCTTTGGCGCCAGGGGGGAGTCACATAGTCGTGGTCAAGTCAAAAGCTTGACAAAATATGTAAATTTATTTTGTCAAGCTCTTGGCCAACCAGCTCAGGAAACGCCCCCGGTCATGCCCTCCATGAAGTAACGACGTCTGATAAATGTACATATGAAATTCAAAATCGAAAAAAAATTGTAGTAGGCAGGGATCAAACCATGTAGATTATTATCCTATTTATTACGCCATGCTCTCACGAAAACAAAGTTTAGAAAATAAAAAAAAAAAAACCTATAGACGAATTGAGTACCTCCTTCTTTTGCGAAGGCGGTCAAAGAGTAAAAACCCTATCGGGTATATATAGTACCCAATGTAGTAGCCTAAACGATTTGTATATTATTGCATGAACAATCCTGCTTCTTAGTTTAATTATTTTGAATTAATAAGTACTTGACATCGTCGGTGGCTCAGTGGTGTAAGCACTTGACTTGTAATCTACACAGGACTTGAGTTCGAATCCCGCAATTTACTAATGTGATTTTCGGTTTTTTCGTATTTCCATAAGTACATAATTTACACGATGTTCACACGGTGAAGATAACATAGTGATGCAACCTGCACGTATCAGCAAATAATTCAAAGATATAAAGTCAATCAACCCGCACTTGGCCAGCGTGGTTGACTATGGCCTAGTCACCCTCGGTGGGGACATATAGTAAGCTAACTAGTAATAGCTGATTTTAGTAAGTACTTGATAAAACACCTAGAATTACTTTTTTCTCTTTTAACAAAAATGTGTAATGACGTAATAATATTCAAGGTTAACGGTCCATCCTAACATAATAAATTTTAATGATCGCGAATATATTGTAACAAATGATTAATGAACACTCACTTCACGTGTATCAATACAATAAAACCTGTTTACCTTGTATTAGAATTACGTTTTCCTTCTCCATCTAAGGATCAACTTTTATTTTTAATATTTTCGTTTTTCTAAATATTAATAAACAGAATAATTTTCGTTCTCCCAATTACTATCAGCTATAGCTTAGCTAGTGATAATCCCTCGCCATTTTGCAAATAACTATGGAACTAATTTCATTTGCGTGCATTAGAATTGAATGTAATAAAAGAAACATACAGTCGAATTGAGTACTTCCATCTTTTGGGAAGTCGGTAAAAAAAACCCTTAAAGCGCCCCATGACAGGATATTTTCTGTCTACCTCGTTTCATGTCAAAGCTCCTTCCCTTTTTGAACCTTTACAATGTTGAAAAAAGTTTCTACCTGAATTATACTGCCTATTGAAATAAGAAGGTAAGCTATTTTTTTTTAATTATGGAAGATAAGTATTAAAAGATATTAATTAAGAATAGTGCCATCTATGTAAAAATATAGAAATCGCGGATCAGAATGTAATCTTAAATTCAAGATTGTATTCGCGCTATAAGTATAGATGTCTATTTCTCAATTGTTATAAGGAAAATTTTTTACAGCTTTCACAAACGTTATTTTAGCTCCAACAACTCTATTTTTTTTGTTGTCTTTATTTTATCTGTCTGTGAGAATACTATAAAAATCCATAGATCTACATACATATTTATTAAAGGTTAATTTTTACAGTTTAATTTCAAGTCCAGCCGTAGGTTCTATTTTTCTTAATATTACATCTCTTGTACAGATCTTTCGGCGGTGGATCACAGTAATGATGCTATTTACTAACAGGAAAGACTAGTCTACTTTTAAACTATCGCACACCTATTGTGCGATTGTCGATTGTTTCGCAGCCATTTCAACTGTTTATTTGAATAATTAAAAATCGAGTAGTGTGCACCTCCATATAAACTTATAGGAATGAAAGCGAGACTAAACAGTTGTGCTATAGTAATACGTGTTCACGCACTTTTTTGGCGAAATTTCATTTATCGAAAAGTCGGCTGTTATATATTAGATATATTCACGCGTCCTTAGATTTCGAATACCAAAGAAAAACAAACGAAATATAACAAATTGCATTTATTTGTATTAAAGTATTATGAGGATTGTACTATATGTGCTTTTAAAACAGCATTTGCATTATAATAAGTGAAGTGTTTTAACATTTTATTTATTATTAATATAATTACTTTTGATTGAATGTGGATGGCTACAAAGGAAGAGGAAGACCGAAGAAAGTATGGATGGATTGTGTGAAAGGGGATATGCTTAAGAAAAGAGTGGATTCAGATATGACGGCTGATAGAGATGTATGGAAGAGCAGCACATACTGTGCCGACCCTCCGTAAGGGATAAGGGCAAGTGGATGTTGATGAATGTAATTTCTTTTCTACAACCTAACTTGTACCAAAACGGGTGTATTTTTGAAAAAGCATTGGATACCTTGATGCATTTTGTTTAAAGGATTTTTGTTCTCGATACTATTACATTCCTTAGCGACCTTTGCTATCTCGTCCTTTTTAATACTATTTCTGTATAATGAATTAATAATTTGATTCTCATCGAATCGTCCACTGTCGTCAACTAAGCCGCAGTTTCTGAATAGACAAAATGCAAACTTTTTACTGGTTTTATCATTGTCGAATTGCCATTGCAAGACTCGCTGTAAAATGTTGATATCGGCGCCAGTTTCTGCGATACATCCTACCGATTTCTCAGTAAGCAATCCAACAACGTCTGATGGCAGATCAGTATATGTCTGGAATTAAAAAAAAATCGAAAAATTTTCAAGCAAAATAAATGAGTTACGCTTAAAAAAAATACAAGGAAAATCTGATATATAAATGCATTGTACCGAATCTTATACAGAACAAATTCGTTTTCGTAGAACAAAATAATATGTTTATGAAGTTTGTGTTAGTGCATAAGTAAATATTATCTAGGTTTAGCGCTTATACGCTAATATGTGACGAGCTGTCACTTTTGCATCCTTCTACCAAAAATGATTTACAATGATGACATCTAATTTCATTCATTGTGTAAAAAAATGCCCGAGTATTTATCAAATGTATATAGCCCTCTCAGAGCTAATCGAATTGTACTTGTAAGACAAAAAAAAACATATTCATACTGATTAAGAGCCCGACTGTACTATCATCGGATAAAGTATGTAGTCTAAGGGGTTTTTAAAGCGGGTGTACACCTTTGAATAAACTATCGCACAATTTTTGTGCGATTGTCTATTGTCAATTGTCAATTATTTCAAAATCTATTCGACTGTTTAGTTGCACAACTAAAAATCGAGTAGTGTGCGCGCCTCGAAATAACCTCATAGAAATTAAAGCGCGACTAAAATGTGCGATAGATGAGTAAAAGGTCTGCGCGCGCTCTTAAAGTGATAACACATGTTAAATTCCTACAACCAGAAAGATTTAAACTATTGATGTCACAATGAAAAGTATATTGGCGTCACCAGAGGGAAAGAAGGATACTGTCAGGCAATCGGAAAAATTAAAAATAAAGATAAAGTCTACTTAGAATAAGACCGTATTATTAGAAACAGCCCACCTCTAGATGTAACCTAGGTCGTCGGCTGGCGACGCCAGTGAAAACAGATAATAAACTTAATTAAAAAATAAAGCATGACTAAAACACTGTATTATAATGAGTTTAAAAACTTGTTACCTGTTTAGCACTAGTTAAGGTCACGGCTGACAAAGCGCAAAATAAAATAAAATACATTTTGTTTAACAAAAAGTACCGAAGATGTTTCAATGTTCAACAGCAATATGTTATGTGAATTTTAATTCGCAAAACTTCCTTTTATACTTGGTACGTTTTTTGTCACATACGGATCATACTTTTTTTATAACTTTGCCATGTCTGACATTAAGTTAGCTACAAAACTACATTTGGATTTTAATTTGGACAGGATGTTTCCTGTTTCACATAAAACTGACTTTTCTGGTAACTGTTTCATCATAAAAATCTTTGAACATAAGAAAACAAATATGTAAATTGTTCTTTTAAAAATGTCATCCTACCGTACATAAAGATAGTAGTTAACAGTTTATTGTATTTTTAAATATATGAGTAAAAATATTTATAACTAGTTTTCGCCTGCGACTCCATCCGCATGGAATTAATAAAACAAAAATGAGTAGCCTATGTGTTCTTCCATACTATCGACTTCCAGTCTATGCCAAATTTCATCGAGTTCCGCTCAGCCGTTTAGGCTCCAACTCTAACAAACATCCATCTAAACTTTCCGATTAATAATAAAGTAAGAGTAAGATTATTAAATTAAAAATAAAATATTTTGGGTGCGATGATTTTACCGGTTAGAAAAAATTTAATCTCTAAAATCGAATTTTTAATTAAAAGATTATAATTATATATATTTAAAAGATTCATATGTAAATTCCAATACGGTGCAAGTAAAAAAAAACGTCAAAATTCTTAATTCAGTATCAAGTAAATAAAATGTTTATAACTACGGCATTACTTACATTAAATTAATATTAAAAAGCTATTTTATGTTATATATTATTCTTAATTGACACTCAATGCGATTGGAGAATTTCGAAGGTAGCATTGGATACCGAGATACATCCTATTTGCAGGCGTGTCTGCCTCAATCTTGTTACATTCTTCGACAATATTCACTATCTGCTCCTTTCTATTGCTTTCTCTGAAGACATCAATCACTTGGTCTATATAAAATTTACCAGCATCATCACTTAAACCTGAATTCTTGAAGAGGCAGAAATAAAAACTTTTGCTGGATTCACTATCTTCAAAGCGACGTTGCAAGACATCGTGCAGTATGTCAGAGTTAGCACCTGTTTCTGTGATACATTCTAATGAATTTTCCTTAAATGTATCAATTATATCGTCTGGTAGGAGCAACTTTATCTAAAAAAAAGTTATAAAAACACTTGAACTTTTTATGAAAAAAAAAAATCTTTATACAAATATTAACATGTACATAATAACCACAATAAGAACATACAGAATAGGTACACGCCTGTGTGCGAAGAGAGCCCCTTACTATCTCATAATCTTTACACTTTTTAGTACATTTTACTCTTTCATAACAGTTTTTTTCTAGATGTACAAATTTAAAGAAAAACATGCTTTTATAGCCTAAAAAACATAGTATTTCTGACGTCAACTATTAGAAAATTATAAAACCAAAAATGCATGTTATACATTATACCATATCAAATTATATTTATTTTTGATGACTTCATAGAAATTATTAAAAGGTAGAATTCTTTGCGAGTCCTCGTAAATGCATCGCTTTTAGCTAATCTATATAAATAGGGTGGTTAGAAGGAAACGAAACATGCAGGTACATACTTATTGCATTACAAAGTGCTAAATAATCTAAAGTGAAGAACAAACGTGACGTGATGCCACAGTATTTTGATGTATCTGCCAAAATCAGTATCCGGATTAGAACAATTTTCGGTAAAGCATACCATTATATCAATTTCATTAAATTGAACCAAAGAGCGTAAAAGCAATTATAAACCAGGCAACTAAGCCAAAGAAAAGCTTTATAATAAGTTTCTTGCTTAGTTACTGAAATAATTTTCAGATCGATCTCAGGATCGCCCACTGAATTAGTTAGTTAAAAGAAAATAGATTAAAAAGTAAACTACAATCTCACCTGTCTACCAATAAAAGCATTTGAAATAGATAAAGCACAAAATATTAAAAAATACAACATAATTTTGAATGAATGAAGACCACGGATTCACAGCTTGTTTCTATCTAGGTTTCCAAAGATTTCGTTTTATATACCCTCCGATCTCAGTATCGCCGTAAAATTTTTTTTCAATAAAGAAAAAAAAAGTTGATTTGAAATCAAATTAAGTCTTTAATTTTTTTAATTTTTTTTAAACTTTTTTTAAATTTTTTTAATCGTATAAACTTTGTATTTACAACTAATGGAATAAATTAATAAAGACTGTTTTTGAATAATTTAAGACATAAAAATAAATAATCGCTGTTACTGACTAGATCTGAGATAAAAGATAAGCAAAAAAACTGATTCGTGACTTTGATCTCCGTGGCATATAAAAAGTATACAAAGATGTTTAGAACGCTTCATAATATTAGTATAGAAGTAATCTATACTTCTCTTTTTATCTAGATATAGATGATCAAAAGCTTAACCAAAGACTATGATATAACCTTTATTTTATTATAGACATGTTATAGTAATAAAATATGTGTAAACATGGTTTAACGTGTTAATTAAGAGTTTAATGCAAAAAATGAAGTCAATAAACGTGTTTTGTTCCGCGAAATATTGAAACTCATCGAATTAAATAGTCGCTACCGGTAGTCATTGACGGTAGGCATACGGGTAGGTAGAATATGGACTTAAATTCAGTTGATAAGGTCTTTTATACACACGTGTTACATAATGTTAAAAAGCCAACAACTTAATATGTAAGCATCTACATGCGCTATTCAAAACGATCTGACCAAATAAATACAATGTTTTTAAATTTAAAATTCAATATTGCCAGATTAACATCAAAAATACAAATAAACTAAATACAAAGATCATATATTTTTATTTTTCCGTGTTATCATTTTATTATGATTTTTTGTTAATTGTTTCTGTATATTCTGTACCCATACCAAGAATCCCAATCAAAACATTTTGCAAAATCATAAAATAAACAAAAAACAAATAGAAATATGGACCTTATTAATTTTTCACTGTGAATGCAGAAATGAAATTTGCTATTTACATTTTTTTAACACACGTGATGGTCTTAATTCTGGATTGTGCTGATTAGTAGGCTGAGAAAATATCTCATCAAAATGAATAACAAACTATTAAACTACTTTAAACAAGTCAATAACAAACTAGGTCAACAAAGAATGAACTAACTTTACAACAAACCCCTAATAAAATGTTTCAGCGCCTACCAATTTATATTAGCAAGACTCGTGACTAAACATTAACCTTTTGTTTGATAGAAGGTTTCAAATTCGAATTCAATCATGGCTTTTTGACTAAGAAGACCCACCCTAAAGTAATTTTTGTCCTATCAACTGTCGCATTTGTTATTGCTAAACTGGTATCGACCTTCGCTAAGTTTAGTAATATTTAATATAGTTACCTACTTACTTAAATTTAAGCAATGTTACCTACTTAAGTTCTTCACATGATTTAAATTGTTTTTATTTGAGATTACGATTTAAGAATTGTAGTTTGTTCCCGAAAACATTTAATAAAACTTAATTAAAACAATTCAAAACAACGATATGATATTTATAATTTGGATAAATAGGCCTATAACTTGTAATCTTCACTAGTGTTATAAAGAGTAAAGACTTGTGTTTTTGTATTTATTAAAATAACTCAAAAACTACTAGGCCGGATTAAAAAATTCTTTCACCAATAAAAAGCTAAGTAATCACTTCAGGGACCTAAGCCATATTTATTAAAAAACATTTCAACGCAAACGAAGACGCAACCAACGGCGAGTCAGATATGTAGTTGATATTATTTTTAATAACATTCGACTGAATGCTTGTATAGCGTGTTGTGACACCAACCGAGTACCGACTTGACACAAAAGTGAAATTAGACAATGATGGATGGACATTCGCACATGTCTACATTCAAATACAAATTACTCTTTGGACCATGACACAGTAAAGATTACTATCACGGAGCAGATAATATATCTCGTTTGGATAAAAGCCTTTTTCTAATATGCCATCAATCTTAACTAAAACCATCGATAACTAATTTAAAAACTAATAAGTCAGAGTAACTATATTAATTGTGAAATAAAAAAAAAATCAGTAAAAAATGCAACCATACTTACTGATAACGTAGATTTTGTTTTGTGAAAGAATTTTTAAAATCGGCCCGGTAGTATTTAAGTTATTTCCATACTCAAACACAAATCTGTCCTGTTTATTTATTACATTCAAATATTCAATATTAACTATAGCACGTTGTTTTCTCACTCGCATTTCAAACTAAACCGATCAAGCACATTGTAGCTATTAAAGTTCAGATAGGCATACAGCCTGGCAAAATTTCATCTAACAAGATACACTATTGCTATTCTCTTTAACTCTTCATGTGTGTCTCAATAACACATATAATAGAGTAATGTGACACTGCTGAAAGTCAATGAACTTGCCTATTAAAAATAATATATTCAACAATAAATGCGGCCGTACACATTTAAATGAATGATCGTACAACGATTGTCGTTTGTTTCGCAGCCTGCAACTGTTTAGTTGCACAACTAAAAAATAGTAGTGTTTGCACCTCGATATATGTAAGCTCATAGAAATCAAAGCGACACTAAATAGTTGTTCGACGGTTTAATTTCGGGTCTGCGCACACTCTAATACAGGAATATTACAAACGAAAAACCTGTACCATGATTCTTATGAGTCACATTTGCATTGCATTTAAAGTAGTACATCGTACAGAGTCGTCATTAGTGAGGACAACATAAGAAAAGGCGTGGCTCTTGACCGTAATTATTGCTAATTGCGAAATGTTACACGCACCGTTTGTGACGCAAGAAAAGTTCAAAAAGTCGAAAGAAACGCAATGTAACGATGACCATGCAGTTAGAGGTAAGTGAGTTCACCATACTTTGATTTAAAATAAGAGTGTGTCAATATAACATATTGAATAATACTAATATTTCGACATCTAAGTAACTAAACCTCTTTTCCTTAATCAGTTTTGAAAGAAACCTCAAGACTTTTCTTGAATGAGAAATTTATAACCGGCACACTGTAATTGGATACTTGTTATCGATCTCTACATCTTGTTTTACTAATATTATAAATGCGAAAGTTTAGATGGATCGGTGGATGTTTGATAGAGTTTATAGCCTAAACTGATGACCAGATATCGATAAAACTAGGCATAGATGTAGAGGATAGTCTGGAAGATCATATAGGTTACAACACTTTTGATTTTGTAATTCCAAGCGGACGAAGTCGCGGGCGAAAGCTATAAAATGTGTCTATTTTGTTTCTTTATTCAAAAAAGTATTATTAACTAATCTAATTTTCTACGTTTGTTTAAAACTGAACTGAACACACTTCTTGCTACACAATACGTGCAACCACTTTCCACTTAGAAATGTTATTATCGTCATTGTGGTACATAATTGAAATGTTCAAACAAGGCAACAGTGAGGCGAACGAATCAGGATGCACACAAATTCGTCTGCCCAACTTAGAAACAATAGTATGGAGTAACAATGCCTTGACTATTACGGTGTACATCTCAATTACACAATGTTTTGTTAGAATAGATATTAACATATATATTTGTAGTTCATTGTATTGAGGTGTAAATGAATTCTAATTAGACATCAATTTTAAATCTTGCAAATTCGTTCAGTAAATTAAAAAATATCAGGTTATTTCCTTTGATTCAATTGTTTAATTTGGTTATATACAGAAAATTAGAGTATATTGTTACATTAGGACATCCAGACAATATTAAACAATTATGCATATTTTTATATACTTTTTTGGCAATCAAAGCAAAAACAATTGGATCATTTCGGACGCGTAAAACCTGCGCTGCAAGGCGACTTGAATGGGCAAGTCCACTCAAAGCTCGACGGCATTTGAGCCATCATCAATCGTAAGCCACAATATGACAGGATAGAGCTTTAACCATTATTATGACTAATGACTAATCTATATTAATATTATAAAAAGGAGAGATTTGTATTTTTGTATCTATTGAAATAACTCAGAAACAAGGGATCCAATTTTAAAAATTCTTTCACTGTTATAAAGGTAATTTATCTGTGAGTAACATAGGCTACGTTTTTTTTATATTTCAATATTTCATGCTGACGATGTCGCGAGCAACAGCTAGTGACTAATAAAGCCGTATTTAACAATTATTTTAGGCTTATTCATCAATATTAAAATTTCTCTTGATATATAGACGAATCTCTATGGTAAGCCACTAACGTAACACTCAATTACCTTTTCGATTCGTTGTATTATCGGTCACACAAACAGGTATGTAGATTTACAGGTACTTTACGATGGGCATGCGTCGCCATTTGCAAGGCGCTTGTCTTACGTAACCGGAACTGCGTTATATCACTATAAAGTTGGATTGAGCTCCTCGGCATTTCAACTATCAAGTATATGATCATAATCTGCAAACGAGCCACGCGCAAACAGTTATCTTAATACGGATTACCGAATTCAATTCAACGGAGAACCGAATTCAGTACAATCGCTTTCCCTCGTAAATAAACAGAACCATACAAATGCGTAAATTACTCCAGTTTTTGTATCCTCGCACTGTAACTACAAAAACATTGAATTTGTTTAAAAAAAAACGTCGTTGACCACCGCGGTGTTCCCGCCGCTCGTTTGCCCCTTAATTATAAAAAAAAAAACACATTTACATATAATTTAATTCTCTCTACTTTCGTCGTCCCTTATAGATATCATGGATTAACGTTTGATTTGTTAATTATTCATTTAATTAGAAGGTAACAGTATACAGAAGAATTTGGTATTTCCGACTTTACAAATCCTATCCACCAGGACTTGATCCTGCAAGTTCCAGTCCTAAAATGACCTTAGACCTTAGGCTAGAGACCGTAGAGTCAAATAGGGCTTTAGTATCCAAAGAATTTTATATCAGAGAAATTAAGATATCCTTAAACTTAAAGATTAAAATGTGTAAGAATTTCTAAAATGCAAAAGGTATTTTATGTGGATTTGCACGTAAGCTGGCGACGGCTAGATGCATTTGTAAACAGAGTTTACATAACCGTGGTCATCGTGAGTGCAGTGCTTGTGGGTCATGTTGTGATACATAAATTACATGATATTACGTCACAAGACGTGACTACGAAGCCGTCCTTATTTACGCACCTATGTCTTAATGAAAGTAGGCGTAACTTTCGGTTTTTCTATTCTTGCATTAAATCTGTAATTCATACTATTATCTCGCTTAATTGCTATTTTGTTAAATAGGCGCCGCAGAGCCTCTTATATCCCTAACATGAGGATCAGGGACGTTTCCTTTTTTATTCAGTTTTTAATTATTTACTTCTCTATTTAAAATTCATAATTTAAAAACATTATTATTTAATACTAACATTCAAAGTATTTACAAAGGTTTTACATAATTACTATTGCATAACTACATCTATTCCTATTTATCACTATTTTACAATACCCTACAAATTTATCTCTACTTTCTTTATTTCGTATCAGACTACTTAAAGGTTTATTACTATTTAAATGGTTTATGTATGATCGATTTCAATAGAAAAATGCGCATACTAACAGTCCTCACCATTCTAACCATTCTCACTAAGTTTAAGCTTGCGACAGCCAATGGGTCACGATATTAGTGAAATGGCGGATTCGACCTGTGACATTATTAACCGCACGTGACTTAACCATTAAAATATTGGAGCTTTTTATTACTTTTAGAAATACCATAGCGTGTATAAGGATATTTCATACATACTTTATTATGATTTTCGCATTAAATATGTACTTACAAACACCTATCCTAGTAACAGTTATGGGCATCGCCAGATGGATAGAGATTGTCCACAAAGCCTCCGCTTAGCTGACTACGCCCATTGTAAACGTCAAACTCTGGTTTAGTATAACCTAAATTTAGATGATTGTAATTAACAATTACAAAATATAATCTGGTAAGTCACACTATTAAATTACTTTTCTCGCAGTGCATAATAACCGCCTTCCACTTTCGCCTAACGCAGGCCCACCAACTATCATAATGGAGATTTCATTCAACTCGTATTCACACAATTTCTACACAGCGGGCGACGAACTACAAAAGGTGTACTCGTCAACACAAGTTAATTCACTCTAACGATGCATCTTCTTGTAATCTCTTGCTTGTTATAAAAAAAAAACTTTCACTTACATTGTAGATCATTAAGGCGATGGAACATTATGCGTAAAATGCGTAACCACTTAGATAAAGAGACGTGGGAGTTAAATAACTTTGAGTATTATGCAATACCTTAATCTTAACACTAGACAAAGAAAGAAAAATATATGCACTCTTCTAGCGCCGCTTCGTAAATTTGGCACAGCATTTGCTCAATAACATTAATGGCCTATAAATATATACGCCTATTCTGACCAAGATATTATGTAATTATAGATTCGAATACAATGATAACCTTACAAACACGTCTATTTTCACATTCCGAACTATAGATTATTATCATAAACTAGCAGGTCGGGCCTGACGTCACACGTATCAATTTTAAAATTCAGATTAAAAAATGTAGTCTAACACCGTATCACATTTTTTAAATACAATGGAGAAATCTTAATTCTAAATTATGATTCTTTACCCTCTTACGATTACAATTTTGGCGATGATTATACACATAGGTGGTTTAATCACACAGGTTTGTTCTAGCTGGTCCCATCTTGCGTCACCTGACTTCACCTTTAGCCTCCCATCACTTCCGTACGTATACATCCAGACAGAAGTTAATGTTAGATTTCCTGTAAATCTTCTTCACAGTTAACACATATTATGTAAATGATTTCTACACTACACGCAAAATTATAGGATTCTAAAAATTTGAATTTCTAAGCCACAAGTTCGAAAAAAAATTTTCTTAATACCAGTTAGGCTCTATAATGAGTTGTAGATATTGTTTGCACGCTTTTTTTTTAAGTTATATACATACACTAACGGATGTAGATTTATATCTTTTGGACACGAATCTTTTTGTTGTTACAGTAAACTGTACGTATTAGATTTTGCGAACTACCATTTTTGGAATGCCTCAAGGATCCTATTTAGGTTCTAACTTATGTTAACAAAGAGAATGGTAACACATTCAGCTACATAACATAGATAATTACAAAAAAAAATCATAAAACCCTATTCAAAGGAAAAACTTCGATGAAAAAAAATTCATTCGCAGCCGATTTTGTTTAAAAATTCAAAATTATTTTCAGAATACGAGACATAGAATACAAAAGGATTTTTTCAAGCTAAATTAGACCAAACTATACCAAATTACGGCTGTTATTTCAATGCAATTTTAAGACAATGAAGCAAGGTAATTCTTTGGCTTCCTGCGTTTTAATGGACAATGATTTCCTCCTTAACCAGAGAGTTAATATTTAAATTCCGCCTATCGAAACTTATTTTTAATGATTGCATTGTTCTCTACATTTATTACCTTATCGTATTGTATTTAAAATGTTTATAGTATTAAAATAAAATTATCTCTTATCTTTAAATATTTCTATCATTATAAATATCTAATTACGCAATTACATATTAAAATTAACAATTTTCAACTGTATTTGTTAGTAAAATATCATGATACACTTAAGGGGCAGCTTAAAGGACAAATAAAAAACTCTACGTGGCTTTTACACTCAGGTATTAATAAAAAAAAAACAGAGCGTCGGTGGCTCAGTGGTTTGAACACTTGACTTGTAATCTACAGGTCTTGGGTTCTCGAATCCCGCTGTACCAATGTGATGTTCGATTTTTCGAATTTTCATATGTACATAATTTACCCGACGTTCTTACGGTGAAAGAAAACATCGTGATGCAACCTGCACATATCGGCGAAGAAATTCAAAGATATGTGTGAAGTCAACCAACCCGCACTTGGCCTGCGTGGTTGACTATGGCCTAGTCACCCCATATTAGGGTAGACTCCGAGCCCCTCGGTGGGGACGTATAGTGATGACTATACATAGACTGGTGATGATGATGATGATGATGACTAACAAATACCATTAATATTGACGAAAAATCAATCACAAACTATATTGCAGCAAATCTCAAATGTATTCATCAACTTAAAAGAGAAAGTGTCTCTATATGACATTCTGAAGTTGATAATAATCAAGTATTGACGCATCTAGGTTTTCTATTTAAGCGCTAAACGCGGTATTAATATTTATGCAATGTAAATAAACCAACCGATGAGACAGCAGTCAAAGTAGTTATGCAAGGACCTAGAAATTTTTTGTTAGCTTTGCACGACCTCTAAGTTCTGTTGCTTATTATTTGTTTTATTATAACCCTGAATACTCAAATACATTAAAATGTGTTAATTTTAAATAATATGTGCACGAAAATTATGAAATAATTAGCGGTTTATGTTGAACAATAAAGTAGGAACAAACCGCTAATTACAATATCTAGTTATGATCATTTGTTTTGTTGTTTGAAGTTTAAACTTATAATGTTCAATAGTAATTAAAAAAAACCTCTTTTGGGTTTTACTAAAAAAAATCTACGTTTTATAGTATTGCAATTCATCGACATGATTAATTCATTTGGAGAAATGAAATAACATAAAAAATCGCGATAAAAGCAAGTGCGTTAGGTTTAAGTTATAAGTAATTTCATAGGACTGTCATAAGTTAGTAATAAGTAAAAAAATAGACGTTCATTATTTTAACACGTGTATTATTATATAAAACATAAATTGTACTACATCTCTGTACTTTAGACTTGAATTCCTCAATGTATCGATAAAACATTAATTTATAAATTATAACAATATAAAAATAAAACAATATTATTTGGTAACTTAAACTTTTCAAGCCTCTGATGGTTCATCATCATGAATGTACTTATTTATATTTAGTCTTAAAATGTTTGCCAAATTTTATATAAAAATATCAAGGTACTATGTTGAACACATTTGTAACGGTTACTGGATTAAAAAACATCGTGTTGAACTTAATAATAACTAATAACACTTAATAAAATAAAGTCGTATTTTCAATATAACTATACAATGGTAACTTTGCCAACCACGTTCAGTTCAAATGCGAACATTTTAGAAAAAATTAAATATTGACAATTTCTTTAAGCCAAATAAAGAATTCATTTTCACGTACGCTACAGATTATGGTGATATGCTTACATACCAGCACCACGTGTATTTTTGTGTATATATTTACAAAAGTAAAATATTTGAAGTCTTCTGGTTACGATTAATTATTTATCAAAATGACTAAGTTGGAAAAAAATATTTCTATATGTACAACATGTCGTCATGGCTCCTTATTGCTATTAATCCCATCCGTGGTGTTCGTGATGAACTGGCACCCAAACCTTCTCCCATACTGGCTTCCAAACCTTCTTCCACGCTGGCACTTCAATGGTTTTCCATACAGGCACCTGGATTTGCTTCCATTTCTCTACCCACACCTTCTTTTGTACTGGTACCCAGATTTCTTTCTTTATTGTCTTCCAAACTTGTACTTTCTCTTCAACCCAGTCTTGTTTTTTCTCTGTTACCCAGGCTTGCTTCTTTTCAGTTCTCCAAATCTGCTTCCACTCTTCTTTCCATTCCAACTTTTTCTCAGTTACCCATTCCTGCTTCTGCACTGTTTTCCAAACTTTCTTCCATATTGGCTTCCAGATCATTTTCTTCCTCCACAAGTCATGGCTTGTATATTCCCAACCGTGGTTATCTTTACCTAAGAATTTCTCACCAGGAATACCTTCTTTAACCCATTCTGGAACATAGGATTGTTTCCATTCAGGCACCTGAACATCTTTAGTGATAGGCACTTGTATTTCCTTCCACACCGGTTTCCATACCTTTTTCGAATCTGGAACTTGAACCTCCTTCCAAATAGGCACTTGGACTTCTTTCCAAATTGGCTTTTGAACTACTTTCCAATCTGGAACTTGCTCTTCTTTCCATTGCTGGACTTGTTCAGTTTTCCAAGCTGGTACCTTTTCTTTCTTCCATTCTGTTTTCCAGATCAGTTTCTTTTCCGTTTTCCAGATTTGCTTCCAATCTTCTTTCCAAACGAGTTTCTTTTTCCAAACTCCTTCAGGCTCCGAATGCCATCCACTCGGTGAGCGTTTGTCCCTGGCTGCTTCAGGGTCGTTAGCGACGTCCTTGACAGGAACGGCAAGAGAAGCCGCGAGTGCGAGCACCAACCATAACTGTAAGGAAAATTATTGTTAAGAATATCACAATTTTTAAACAATTTGATAAGCTCTATAGACATGAAAGCACTTTATATTTGTGTAAATTATCCTAAAAAGGAAAAATCTGGGCTATTTATTTTAATTTTTGAAATCGATTGGTAGTGCAAGGTTCAAACAACGGCCGGATTCGATCCAGAGTTTTGGAGTCCATAAAAATTTATAATTTTGTAATAACTATTAAATACGAAATAGCAGAACCGTAATTTGTCCTAATGTAATTATAAATCAATCAAATGAACCTAACTACAACTACTACAATTTGTTTTTTTTAATATACTTAACAGCGGTATACTAAGTCAAATATTTTTAAATGTTGAGTACTTTATAGGTCTCGTCATCAGATAACTATGATCACAATTTCTAAATTAAAATCTAATAAAATATGATTTAACACAGATTCTATTTTGCCCATTATGTTATAGAAGAACATAAAGAAGGCAAAACATATCCAGATATAAGGAAACTTTCTTTTATTTCTATATAATCTGTTGGATAATATTTCGGTTTTCTAAACCAGTAACACTTGCACTTCAATTAAATTTCAAACGTAAAACCCTTATATCTATTTTTTTTTAATTTTTCGAACAACACTACAGACAGAAATATTATTAAAAAACATAAAAATAAATTTCACTATTAAACGACATGTAAAATAACACAGCACTTCACTATCCACCCACCGTGATCGCTAGCGTCCTCATTTTGTTACCGAGGTGACCGCCGTCGCGACTGCCTCCAGTCAGCTTGCGCTTGTGTATTTATCAAACAGCCCCTCTCTAGTACACCCGAGGTTCAACTCCTGCGCAGGATCGTGACGTTTTCTCGAACGTGTTAGAGATGGAACGGTCAATGTTCGTACTTGAGTTTAATTGGTTGCCATTAAATGTTTGTTTATAAAATCAATGAACTTTTAAAATTAAATTGGATATTAATATATCGTTCTGAAGGTCTGAATGTTATGTTTCTTTATTTTTGATCTAGGATTTAAGCATTATTATTTTGATTGTGACTGTCATCACCCGCTTTCTAAATAACAGATATGAATTGTTTGTTATCACGGTGTTATAAACATTAGTAGGATTTTTTTTATTTCATATGTTGAAAGTTAACTAAACAAAAATCAGAAAAACTCATTAATCCTTAACTAGTTAGAATGTGGTCCATTTTTAATCTTCAAAACCTGTGTTGCGTCTACTTGTGGCTACCATTTTCTCATTGAAAGTTTTCGAGTAAATTTGTTATTAAGCTTCCTCCTATCTGTAATACCGTGAATCTATATTATTACTGAACTTTATGGTGTTTTTTACCATTAGAGGCTATCTAAATTCCTATCCAGGCTCTGCTATGGGGAATCTAAATTGCCTAAGTTATACTGAGATTTTAAATCGTTTATTTCTATACCCCACATAGAATATTAGGTCAAGTTCACACGTCCACATAGAAGCACCATGCATTGAATACCTATGTTACATATTTCGTTCAATTTATTCATGGTAAGAAACCTTACGCAATGAACGAACGTAGTTGGATTTTACAGACCGCTTGGACGGTGACTTACAATAACTAATCCGAATATACCTACAATAAGTTATTGTTGTTCTCTTTCTTCTAAAGCCTCTCTATTACTGGAGGTTGGCCGTCAACTCATCGAATCTCTGCCTCTCCTGTGCTAAGCGAAAAAGTTGTTCGACGCTGGCGATACTACTCCACTCCCGGATGTTATTATCCCGAGTTATACTCGATGCGTGCCTGCGTCTCGAAATCCGTAATAAACTAAATCGACGAAGAACTAACGTCATATCCCAAGCAACTAGCACAATTAAATTGTTTAAACTTTCTTAAAACATTATCATAACTAATTATTCGGTAGGTCGCACCATCATCAGTGCAAGACGCGACGCGACGCGACCTCGAAGAAAGTCCATTTACACTCGCCCTGAAAATGGGCCCCCGATGGGTTCGTAACTATGTGGAGCCGCACTCGAAAGAATACATAGATGTAAGCGCTAGCCGTTTAAGAGCTAGCAGAAATTAGTATTTCATGCTGATAGAAATGGGCCGGACACATTATCGAACCAGTGACGTCACATGCGTGAGGAAAGTCTACATACGTGCCACTGAGTAACCTAACACTGAGAAATGCGCCTCGCATTGATCTTTCTAACGAAAAAGGAAATGACAAAAAAATTAAAAAGAAATCTGCATTCTTATCTTTTTCTATATCGGTACATCTCTGTTATGCGTGTTCTAACATAGATAATTATGTGGGCCAAATTATCAAATTACTTTAGTAAAATTAATTAACATTTAAGAACACGGAAAAGAATCTTTGGTTCTGTTTGTAAATTCACGCTTTCGTACAAAAATAATATCACAAAAATTACACGGACTATTCCAATTATGCAATCTTCATCATATTCAAATTAACCCACCAATAACAATTTCTAGACCAAAGAATAGCAATTATGTTGACGCAATGCCGATTAGTTACGATATTTTACGTATATTATGAAATCTAGTGAAATTGTGTTAGTAGTATTCGCGATCCGTACGGAAAACAAACAATCACAGCATTCCAGCAGAGTTCATTGTTTTTGCAACTTTTTATCGATGTAGAGAACATAACTTTAGAATAAGATAAGAGATACCTTACACTAAATGGCCAGTTGGCTTAGTATTTCATATTGAAAGAAAAAATAAAAACATTTTATTGGATAATAGAAGTAAATCTCAAGGATATATCGATTAAAATTAAAAGTAATCGATATTGGACGCAAACAGAAAATTAAAGATAGACTAGAACACTGCGTGGGCTTGTAACCTATGATCGCAAGGTCAATACTTCGAATTTAAATGCCTGTAACGATGAATTTGCATTTTTTAAAAATATAGTAACCGTTATGTGACAATTACTGTATTCCATTATTTAGCATTGGTTTAGTCAGGAATAAGGACACTTATCATCGATGTTAAAATGTAAACCATGACTTTCCAGTGTATTTCATCTAAGCATTTATTATCAAAATTACTTTTAAACCATATATTTGTAATATTTTGTTATCAAACATAATAATTTAACGTTTATTTTATACGATTTAGACATAATTCTCTCGCTTTCAACACAAAGCTACGCCCACACATCGATCGTTTACGAATTTTTTAAATGGTTCAAAATCACTAAATCACCATGTATTATCGGCTCTTTATCGCTCATTAAATAACACATTATACAGCTATAAAGTTAATGCACGTCCACGAACTTTACAACAAAACAAATATCACAGTCATTGAAACCAGTTTAAACCTGTCACCGGCAAATCGTGTAAGCCGTCCGTTTATAATCTATCCCGGCAAAAAGGACTCGACGAATTGCATATTGAAGTATTCATTTCTTCTTTTAAAACGTTTTCGGTAAATTGTAAAGGCGATATTTCATAGGTCTAGGAGCTCTAATTCGAATTTTTCTTCTATTTCCCTTCCTATTTTTATCTTTTATGGAAGGGTTAGGAAGGGAAAATGGATTTTACCAAGTTGGGGACACATTGGAAAGGAAAGTAACCTATTACTGTGCGTAGATTTTGAATTAGACAGCCGATCTGCCTTTGCTGATGTTTTTGGACAGAGTCTAAAATTTTCCAGGATAAATTACAAGAGGACGATATACGCGATTTACAGGTGACATATCTAAGTTACATAAGTTACGGCGGCGCGGCATACTTTGCCCACCAGCGCTCATTGTTATTTGTGTAGCGCATACTTAACAAAGTTTGCCACAAACTTAACCTGTAAATGGCTTGTTACTTGCACCCGATTGTAGCTGTTATGATTGTTAATGAGCTCTGACATAGTTTAATTAGAAACTATTCTTTCCTTGTAGTTTATTTAAATTTCAAAGCAACATAGGCTAAGCACCCATGTTAAATTTTTTATTAATTTTTTATATTACAATTAGACGTAACAAAAGTTTAAACACTAAGCTAAAAATTGCTAATATTTTATTAGAAAATGATATTAAAATATGTTAACATGTTGAATTTGTTTGGATCTTGGTTAAATTAGAATTATCAATTATGGATCAAATTTCACGTGATCGATGTGGTCTGGTTTTCCTCGTTATTAACTTCCATAATATGTATGTCATACACGTAACACAAAATAATATAGTACGTCCATTGTATTTTAATAATTTGTTTATTATACAAGGCAAAATTTTTAATATTTGAGTTTATATACACAATTTTGTACTTGCAAGTCCTTGGTTAAATTCTGATCAAGAAAAATTTTGTAACGGTAATTTCGAATCGTCACCTTGCGTTATGTCCTTGACTCCTTGACATTGAGCGAGGAAGGTCATTTCTCCGATACATTGCGTATGTCCATACATGCTAAGAATAATAATTCCCATAAGTAGTTACTTCATAAAAATGCCTTTTCTAAATTTTGTTGTTTATTTCGTTATGCAAAATGATTGACATTCAAGATCAAATTTTAAAGAACGATTCTTACAAAGGTACTGTTAAACTTGATTCTGTATCAGTCTAGTTAATAAATTATTTTTTCCTATATTATTTGCAACAGTTACCACAAATATACTTGTAAAATGATTAAATGAATTATTCATGATATGCTTATTACTACACGAAGACGATTCTATCGCCATGTTTCTTAGTTAATAGAGATAGTGACAGCTATTGTGGTCAGGTTACGAAATGCAATCGACTGGCGCCACCGGGTTTTTGTCTAAGATCACGCAAACTATATTAATGTTTTAACAAATCACATTTGGTATCTGATCTTTAAAAGATAACTACCCTGTCCTGACTATCTTATCTAGAGAGTAAGTGGGTCAGGGGTTTGAGCACTTGACTTGTAATCCAAGGGTCTTAGTCCCATATCTCGCCATATATGCCAATGTGATTTTCCATTTTTCTAATTTCTTATGTATATAATTTACCCGACGTTCTTACGGTGAAGGAAGACACCGTGATACAACCTGCACATATTGGCGGAGAAATTCAAAGACATGTGTGAAGTCAACCAACCTGAACTGGGGCAGCCTGATTGCCCTCGAAGCCCCTCAGTAGGAACGTATAGTGAGCTGGTGATGACTCTGTCTTGAGTGTGCCTTTTACTAAAAACCTCCTCTGTGGACATAAAAAGTGAGACTGGATAGGAACCCGAAGGTTTAAGTTCTAATCGCTTGGCAGCCTCACAACCGGAGTTGTTCGGGTCACTGCTTTATCTGTAATTAACCTAATAGAAGTAAATTACCACCCAAATTGTCCACGAATTGACCTGGCATGAGCACACGTTTATCTAAAATGTGTGATGAGGTCGTAGGCCGTTGATTAGTGAAAGTGGTTGCGTGGTTCACACCACACTTCCCTGATGCAATAAATGTGTTTCTTCACGTACTGACGGACTGACATACGTACAAAGTGATTCCATCACTCACTTTTTACCTCCACACTTATTATACCCTGCGTCGTAAATTACTGTAATTCAATGAGCTTCGCAGAATGACTTTTCGATAACAAAAACATATCATAAAATTGTTACGTATGACAAAGGAAATTTTCGATTCCCATATAAATCGAGATTATCATTTCATTAGTTACCATTGCCGAAACATTTTTATAAAAACTTGTTGAGTCTGTTCAGTGAGAATCCATGCTTACAAACAAAATTCAGATTACCAATAGAAAAATAACAAAAGTGCTACTTGTAATTATAACCCATCAAT